GCTGCAGGTGCAGCAGCTTCATGAGCAGGATGAAGTGATGAAGTGATCTAACAGCGTCGTGCGCGCTTCGCGATAAGTCGCGTGTCGGGAGACAGGGTTTTGTGCGACTGGCAGTGACGTACGAGTGCAACGGACACGTGTTTTATCGGCGATCACAACGATGATGATGATGGTGATGTTGATGAAGATGATGATGATGATAGAGATTATGATAAAGCAGGTGAGGAAAGACAGCAGCGAGCGTATTCTGCAGGACAGGCTGCACACACACACACACACACACAAACACACACACACACACACACACAACACACACACCAACACACACACACACACAACACAACACACACCGGGTTTGAGTGGAGTTCAAAGACGACGTCGAGGAGGGCGAGGAGCATGCGGAAGGGCACGCTCGCATTCACCTCAAAGTTCTGGCAACCACAGTGGTGGGTAGGGTAGTGTGGCAGGAATATGAGTTGGACATACACGTCGTGAACAAGTGGGCAGGTCGAACAAGAACAGCACAGCACAATCATCCATTCGCACCTTCATGGCCGCTGCTGTCTCCTTCGCCTCTGCATCGTCGTCATCGTCCTCCGACGGCTGGACAGTTGGTCACGTGGGTGGGTGGTGAGGATGTGGGAGGCAACGCTGTTCGTGCACACTGCAGAAGCCAACGAGCACGACCAGCCGGAACACACACACACTCGCTCACGCACACTTGCTCACACACTCACACTCACACACATTCACATTCACACACATACAGATACACACACACACTTGCTCACACACACACACACACACTTGCTCACACACACATACAGATACACACACATACAGATACACACACACACACTCCCTCCCCACCAACAACACACACCTTGTGGCCACGGCGGAAGACCTTTGATGTGAGGGACTGATTCGAGCGCACGTACTTGTCCTCGTTCAGAAACTTGGCAACAAACTGGCGTACATATCATGCACACGCATCGTCGGTGTGAATTGCACAAAGCGAACAACCTCGCCGCGCACGTCCGCAAGCATCAGCCAGTGCCTGCAGGCAAAACAAAACGCCCACAAACGCAAATGCACCACACCATCAAGCAAAGCCCACACCTTCTTCACGCCCGGTTTCTCCAGCACGGAGTGCGACATGACCATCTTCAGCCACGTCTTCAGATCTACAAAGCGAAAAGAAAAGAACACACACGCGGCAGCGGGAGTGAGGGGGGGATGACAGTGTCGTACAAACACCACAATAGCACTTGCTCCAACACACATACACAAGTCTTTACAGTGTCGGCACAGCACTCACGCAACCCCGCGTCCCTCCTCGTTCCACCACACATACGCGCGTACCGTTTGTGCGCGCGTTCAGGAACTCCTCCGATTGGCTCTTGAGATATGTTTTGCGCGGGAGCGTCAGCGGCACTTCGATCAAGTGCCCAAACCGCTTTTTCAACTGCAGACACATGTACACGCGATTGGCATGCACGTGAATGTAAGTTTGCGTGTGGATGTATGTGTGCATGATGGGATGCCATCATGTCGTGGTGCATGCAAGCTGTGTGATGGCCGCACATACACGCCAACGCACGCACACACGCACCTCTGTGTGGAAGTTGTGAAAGTCGCTGTATCTGCGGAGGCAGTACCACTCCCGCGTGGCGCCGCTCTTGGCGCTGATGAACGTCACCTGCACACACACACACACACACACACACACATGAGTGGCACGAGTAGGCACATCAATTCACCCGCAGCAGCAGCAGCAGCAGCAGCAGCAGCAGCAACAACAACAACAACAACAACAACAACAACAACAACAACAACAACAACAACAACAACAACAACAACAACAACAACAACAACAACAACAACAACAACAACAACAACAACAGTATCACAGGACGCGAAGCAATGGCAACATTGTCATGTGTGATGCAATGGCGGCGGACCTTGAGGCGATAGAAGACCACCATCTTCTTCTTCACGCGCAGCGATTCTGCACAGCACAAACACACACACACACACACACAGATACATCGATGAGAACCAGGCCCGCTCCACCACCGAGGACACAGACACACACACACTTCAACACACTTCACACACACACACACAGACACGCACACACGCACACACAAGTCTCACCTCGCTCGACGAGCTCAGCAGCCCACCACCCGTCATATTCGTCTCCGGTTGGCGCCGCACCGCCGCTGCCCTGGCGACTCACGCTCTCACTCCCATTCCCATTCCCACTCACGCTCCCACTCATGCTTGTGCTCGTGCTCGTGCTGCTGCCTGCCGCCACATCGCTGGATGCAATGCTCATCGTATCTGGATCAACATCGTCATCGTCATCATATTCGTCATCGTCGTTGAATGCCATGTCTGTGTCGCCACCACTACCGACAGTGCTTGCGCGCGAACGACCGCCCGATCCCGCCGACACGTGGCGCTGACGCGGGCGGATGGAGGTGGAGCGAGGACGCAATCCCCCACCACCATCGCGATCATCACCAGGGTGGTGCTGGGGTGAGGTTGTTGTCACGGGCGCGTGGGTGCCGCTGCCACGCTCGCTGCCGAGTGGTGACGGTGTGTGCGAGTGGCTGTCGTCGCTGTCAACATCGCTGTCGTGGAAGAGATGATGTGTTGACGGCTTGGCGCGCGCTGGCGGTGGCGGTGACACCACCCGGGCTGTCGTGAGGAGGGGGGCAGGTGAGGAAGGTGAGGCAAAGGGAAAGGCACGCAGGGATGTTGTGGAGGGTGATTATTCAGTGCTTGCGTGTGCAGGTTGAAGAACAAGAAAAACACCATCGAGAGCACGCAATGGCGCGGACATGTCCACATCACCACAATCACCACTGTCACTAACATCACCACCATCACCACAATAACCACTGTCACCACTGTCACCACCACCATCACCATCGGGCAGACCTGGGGGCCTGGTTGGATCGTGCTTGGGCAGAGAGTCGAGGTACTCTGCTCCGTGATCGAGCTTCAGCGACATGATGCAGCGATAGTACGGGTCGCTCTTGAGAAAGTCGTCGTGGATTGCATCCAGTTGCCGCTCAAGCTGATGCGAACGGAAGCAACAGGGTGGGGAGGGGTGTGGGGAGAGAGTACAAAGAGACAGAGGGGGGAGGGCAAGTGACAGAAATGAGGTTACCACGACGACAGTGCGTCTTAACACGCGTGAGCCTCCTTACCACCACCACCACCACCACCACCACCATCACCACCACCAGCACCATCATCATCATCATCATCATCATCACCACCACCACCATCACCACAGCCGCCACCACCACCACCATCACCATCATCATCATCATCATCATCATCATCATCATCAGCACCACCATGCACTGTGCGCGTGTCCGCACCTCCCGCCTGACGGAAGCGAAGATGTCGTGTGTCGGGTGGCGGGCGATGTTCTCGTGCACCTCCGCCATCATCTCCAGCTGTCGCGCTCCGAGATCGATACGCCGCGGCGACGTGTCGCTGATGTACTGCAGCCGGCAAAAGGGGGAGGTGGTGGTGGTGTTGTGATATGAACGGTGCCAGTGTGAGAGCGCGCAGTGGTGGAGTCGTGAGGTGGTGAATCGTCATAGACACACACACACACACACACACACACACACATATGCGTGTGTCCATGAAACAGAGCCCCAACCTGGAAGAAGATTTCCTTTGCTTCTCGCTGGATCGTGTTGATGATCTTGTACTGGAAATTGCGTTGCTAATGATGGAGAACAGAGCAAGAGGGGGGTACCATGAGGGTGGCGATGCAGGGTTGGCAGTGACCAACGAGAACGCACGCGCAGGCATGCATGTGCCGCACAGAATGAGTTGTACACACACACACACACACACACACACACACACACACACACACACACACACACACACATACACACACGCACACACACGCACACACGCCCTTTCCAAGCACTACAGGCTCACCTGTGCCTCCGGTTGCGCCTTTGCCTGCTGGCGTTTGAGTTCCGTGTTTTGATCAAAGGCGAAAATGTCCAGCCAGCACGCGAGCACGTGATCTTGACCTGTGGCGGTGGCGGTGATGGAGTGATGGACATGGATTGTGGTGCGGTGGTGAGGATGAAAGAGAAATGTACCAGAAGAGAGGGCGACAGCAAGCAACAACGTGCACACACACACGCACGCACGCACACACGCACGCACGCACACACGCACGCACGCACACACGCACACACGCACACAACACCGCACCTGTGTTGACTGCGAATTCCTCGAGGTACTTGACGGCAATTGGATCCTCACGCACAAACTTGGAGGAGAGAGCGACGGTCGGCGTGTCAGACTCAACCGGTGGCTGACGGTGGTCACGGCAGTGGTCGTCGTGTTTGTGTGTTTGTGTGAGTACACGCGAGTGTGTGTGTGTGCGTGTGTTTGAGTGTTTGTGTGAGTGCACGCGAGTGTGTGTGAGCGCGATGGTGAGATGGAAAAGTGCGCAAGCAGTGTGCACAATCAGCGCATGGTGCATGGCCACGTTGTGAGGAGCCGTGACAGTACCAACAACAGACACGACGACACCAACGACACACCGACAACAGATACAACACCAACAACACACCAACAGCAGACACGACAACACCAACAGCAGACACGACGACACCAACAACACACCAACACATGTCGACACCTTCTCGATGGGTTTGCCCGTGATGACGGCGATGCGATTTTGACACTCCGTCTGTTGATGCACAGTGACCACATCACGCGTGAAGATGAGGAGAAATGATGAGAAAAAAAGGGGGGGGGCATAGAGAGATGAGAGAACCTACAAGGGGAAGGCGAAGACGGAGAGAGAGATGGAAGCTGGCCAGTTGCAGCCGCACAATTGTGTGTTCATAAACACGTGCACAAATAAACACACACACACACGTGCATCTGCAACACCAAAGCACACACTACCTTTCCCCCGCCCCTCACCACCACCACCACCACCA